TAGTTCGCAGCGCGAATCTTTACATGACCAATGAAGTCAACAGCCATAGCTTCGCACTCAGATATTCATTTGGGGAAATTAGGAATAGTTGGAGTTTATGGTTTTGTTTATCGGTCTGGGCATTCGTAGTTAATATGTGACAATGAGGAATATGTGACAATGAGAAAGAGTTGAACTTGTTCTCACCATAAACTAAATTTGATTCATCTCCTTCTATTTTTATTCTCAATTTAACACATGGAAAAGCCACATCAATAACACTATTCCGTTATCAGACTAAACATGTCCATTTAACATTGTATGTTGTTCTAGCTGTAGCGTTAACATACCTTAGTAAGAATACCGGAAGACCTGTACTTTTCCCTCGCCATCCCCGACCCAAATCACTTCCCCGATCATGGCCAAGGTCCATGGCGGTGTGTCCATAGTCAGGAGGACCTTAAGTGGCTCGCAGGATGGACTAAGTAACTGGACATTTTTTTTGTATCCTTCCATTACCAAAATATTATCCATCGCATCAAACATTGCATCATTGGGCTTATATTCTATTGAGTTGCCAGTCAGGACGCATGGCCCCCTGTACATCGATATAGGAGATAGGTCTTCGTCCAGAATAACTAGCTCTCCTCTTCTTATAGCAATGTCGTTAATAACCGCTAAACGTGTGCCACTGCTGTTTACACAGACTTTTTCCGGTATAACAAAGATGCTTTGGCTTGATTGCGCTTTGAATTCTACTCCCCTAATGCACCGGCACAGCCCGAGGTAACTGTTCTTTTGTACGTCGTAATCTTTCTTGTCGTACATCGTCAAATATATCTCCCCAGCGGGACCTGTGCATATACTGTCTGGTATCCGTGGGATGCTGATTATCTCTGTGATCTCTCCGTCTGACAGATCCACCTCATTGATACATTTCTGAGTTGTACAACAGAACAGGAACTTGTTATCTGAAGTGACAGTAAATCCTTTTGTCTGAGTTCCTAGGTTGACAGCTTCAATGATTTGTCCCAATATGTTTGAAAGTTTAACACTGTTTTTATTCTGGCATTTGAACCAGCGAAGTCCTGGCTAAGAACAAAACACGGTTTCTATGCCATCATCTTTAGGAAGTTTGAAGGATGTTACTGGTGTTACTTTGATATTTGATTCTCTTTCGATCGAACCAACAAAGTCAGACGACATCGTCGTTGTAACGCCATTGTTTGAACTATCAAATGTTTTAATACCCCCAAACATTCGTTTGAGTTCTCCGTCCCTGACAGTCCCGGGGATGAATACAAGGGCGTGCATGTCCGGCCTGGGTATGCGGCTGATATCCGGCACCTCCATGTCCCTTCCCAACTTAATCACGTCCACGTAGTCGTTCACCTTCTGCAGTTGAGCCACCTTCATCTTGAACGTGTCTATTTGGGACACCTGCTGTTTCAGAGCTTTCTCCGTTCTGTCTATGGCCTGCGTGTTCATACCGACTTCCGTTTTGTGTTTCTGTATTACTTCCGTGTTGACTTCGTCGATTTTTCTTCTGATAATATCAGCACGTTTAGCGATCTCATCATCTACGTTATAAGCATCCTGTTGCAGATCATCTCTGATTTTGGTGAGACGATCTCGATCCGATTTGATTGAACATTCTCGGTTTCTAACTGTTCCAGGTTCTGACGGATAGACCGAGCGGCGTTCCTCAATGTCTGCAATCTGTGCTCTGCATGTTCCTCTTCAATACAAACTCCACAGACAAAGGGGAACTTATCACATGATTTACACACCATGAACACTTGCTCACCTGTATGTATGGCACACTCCATTGTCTCACGGTAATATCCGTAGCTCAAAATGAAGTTTTCTGTTGAGACGTGCTTCTATCGGTATACTTTTGTTACGTCATCGGTCACCGTTATTGATTATAAATAGCATACTAGAAAAGGAACGTGGTTATAATCTTATCAACACACTACAAGTCTGTGTAGCCTGTATTTCACACTCACCTTATCTACGACTTGTATGTATCACCGTTTTTGGAAGATAGCTGAGTAGTTTGAAAATATATCCGATTGTATTTTTTTTTTGTATGTTTGTAGGCGCTTAACCGACCTTTCTGTCTCCAGGCAACCTTTAACAAAAGAATCACAAACAGAACATAACACAAAGCACCCCACCCCGACCACCACCTGATATAATTGTGTTAATCTTATATCAACCTAGTGTTACGATTGCCAAACTGAATTATTAATTCATTGCCGATGGCGTTAAAATAAGTTATAATAAAAAGATTTAATAAAATGTTAGGATGTGTAGCTAGAGCTATATTTGATTGTGTTCTATATGTAGTCTAGCATTATCAATGAATTGATGCTAGTTAAATTATTAGTGCTCGAGTATTACGGGTAAAGTACATATGTAAAAGGAAAAGAGAAGCTTGACATAATTTTTCACCAAGGAACGAAGCAGCGACCCCACACTTCTAAACCTATCATAAGTTAAAGAGAAATATGGCACTTTAATGAACAAATAAAATCAACCATTGAAAAAGCATGTGTTTGGAGAGAAAATGGAGATCATGCCTGGTTATTCCCTCATTTTCGCGTTCTTCCTGTCGTGACCTCGCGCTCTCGTATTCTATTCTTGTAACACATGGTGTTGTTTAGAGTGATCAATCGGCACACAACCTAAATAGTTTGAAGTGAAACTACTAAAATGTCCACACACGAAATATTGTTTGAACATGTTTTAATTACTAAAATCTTATAAAACATATTAAACATACATTTTACCAACTTGTTGTCTTTTTCTTGTGATAATTCGTAAGAGTATACAACAGTATCAGCGATATCAGCAAGGAGGAAAGAAAGGAAAATGAATTAATTACCACACTTGATTAAGATAGAATAGGAAATTTGAGTAACTGATCTGATAAACTATTCATAATCACGATAATTAAATACTCTAGAGTCTGTTCTTCGGATTGATGGTTTTCCTGTATCCTATTGTCAATTAGACTTGTCTTTTAACATTGTAAATGTGCAGAGAACGTTGTTCATCCAAATTTTAATTTCAGAAAAATAAGGACAGAAAAATCAAGCTTCAAAGACATTTGGGGTCATTACGAATAAATTGTGGTAAATATCCCAGGATAGTTCCAATGGTCAAAGGCTGAACATCGTTACTGGTTGTTCTGGGTATTACCACTGAACTCCACTTCAAAACCCAAAATACAACGATCTAATAGAGGTACATATATATTAGATATTAACAAAAATAATCTGTACAATATTCAAACACCCCCGATATCTGCTTACACTTCATCACACATTAAATCGGGCTACTCACCAATATTACCATCATATCTACTATCTACACATCCATCTATATCTTTCTTCGACCTCTGCCATAGACAATATCTAGTTGCAGTTCTATTAACAATACATATCGCTGTGAAACAAGCGTATACTTATTGAATTAGTGACTCTTCCGGATGTCCGGATGATAGCACGCAGGTGGTCTGTGGATGGGTGGAAACCGGAAAAAACACGAGAAAAATCCAGGTGGTCGGGCAGGTGACCTTTTATCCACGTCTGATCAGGGAATCAAACCCCGGCTGTAAGCTGTGTGCGTTATACACTGCGCAACCCTCCTATGGTCCTTGTCTACATAGGCAAATACTTTGACACCCCCGCAAGCACTCGTGCCGGTATTTCTGGATAGCTCCGCACACATCCATTTATCTGGCTGCTCCTTCGCATTTCTTTCATCGGCCTTCCATACATCTAAACCTCTGGATGACAATTATAAGTAGCATGTGCCCGATTACCAGTATCAATCTGTAACCACTATGTTAAGACAGAGATTCCCGCGGACGTCATCCAGTAAAATCTCTACAAAAAAACGCAAGTTTTCAATTAGCATCGTTGGTAATAAAATATTATATATAATATTCTGTCCTATAATCGCCTTTGAAAATATCTTAATTCGGTACATATTGTTTTAACAATGTTAACTAAAAGCCCACTATTATCAGAATGGCCTTGTGCATTATTATGGACTATAATTCTCCTTATATTTTTATTATGAGATTGACTCGGATGTAAGTCGTATCAAAGATATAATAACTTTATCAATTATGACTACATTTCATTTCACATTATCTTCTTGGTCAAGCTGTAGTGTTAACATACCTTAGTAAGAATACCTGAAGACTTGTACTCTCCCTTTGTCACATCCGACACAAACCTCATTCCCGTGCAAGGACAAGGACCATGGTTTAGTTTCCATGGTCAGCAGGACCTGCAGTGGCTCACAGAATGGACTCAGTAGCTGGATAGTTTGACTTTTCTCTTCAGCAACCAAAATATTGTCTCTTGTATCAAACGTAGCACCATTAAGAAGAAACCATGAAAGTGATTTGCCCGTCAGCACGCTGGGTCCTGTATAGACAAAGATAGGAGATAGGTCCTGGTCAAGAACAACTAGCTCCCTGCGATTGTCATTTATATAGTTAATTACCACAACTCGGGTGCCAGTGTTGTTCACACAGACTTCCCCTGGTACAACAAAAAGACGTTCGCCAAAAACATGTGTCTGACACCGAACCTTCTCTAGTCCCCTACTGTTGTATTGAACCAACACACGGGTACTGTCTTCTTCTAAGTTGTAATCATCCTCGTCAAACAGCGATACATATATGTCACCAGACGGACCTGTACATATGTAATTGGGTGCCAGTGGACTAGTGCTGAATTTCTCTGTGATATCTCCGTTTGGAAGCTCCATTTCCTTGACGCATTGCTGAGTTGTACAACAGAACAGTAACCTGTTATCGGACGTGACAGTAAATCCTTTTGTCTGAGTTCCTAGGTTGACAGCTTGAATGATTTGTCCCGATATGTTTGAAAGTTTAACACTGTTTTTATCCTGGCATTTTAACCAGCAAAGTTCTGATTCAGAACAAAACACAGTATATATACCAACATTTTTAAGAAGTTTAATGGATGTTACTGGTGTTACTTTGATATTTGATTCTCTTTCGATCGAACCAACAAAGTCAGACGACATCGTCGTTGTAACGCCATTGTTTGAACTATCAAACGTTTTAATACCCCAAACATTCGTTTGAGTTCTCCGTCCCTGACAGTCCCGGGGATGAATACAAGGGCGTGTATGTCCGGCCTGGGGATGCGGCTGATATCCGGCACCTCCAAGTTCCTTCCCAATTTAATCACGTCCACGCAGTCGTTCATCTTCTGCAGTTGAGCCACCTTCATCTTGAACGTGTTTATTTGGGACACCTGCTGTTTCAGAGCTTCCTCCGTTCTGTCTATGGCCTGCGTGTTCTTACCAACTTCCGTTTTGTGTTTCTGTATTACTTCCGTGTTGACTTCGTCGATTTTGCTTCTGATAATATCAGCACGTTTCGCGATCTCATCATCTACGTTAGAAGCATCCTGTTGCAGATCATCTCTGATTTTGGTGAGACGATCTCGATCCGATTTGATCTCTTTAAACACCTGAACATTCTCGGTTTCTACCTGTTCCAGATTCTGACGGATAGACTGAGCGGCGTTCCTTAATGTCTGAACTTTGTGCTCTGCATGTTCCTCTTCAATACAAACTCCACAGACAAAGGGGAACTTGTCACATGATTTACACACCATGAACACTTTCTCACCTGTATGTATGGCACACTTCATTGTCTCACGGTAATATCCGTAGCTCAAAATGAAGTTTTCTGTTGTTACGTGCTTCTATCGGTATACTTTTGTTACGTCATCGGTCACCGTTATTGATTATAAATAGCTGACAAGAAATGAAGTGTCACATACTAGAAAAGGAACGTGGTTATAATCTTATCAACACACTACAAGTCTGTGTAGCCTGTATTTCACACTCACTTTATCCACGACTTGAATGTATCACTGTTCTTGGAAGTTCAGGATATGGGTAGTTTGAAAATATATCGGAGTGTTGTTTTTTTGTATGTTTGTGTGTGTTTTAGCTAAGACTATTTTTTTTAACAAAAGAACCACAAACAGAACATAATACAAAGCACCCCAACCCGACCACCACCTGATATTATTGTGTTAATCTTAGATCAACCTAGTATTACGATTGCCAAACTGAATTATTAATTCGTTGCCGATGGCGTTAAAATAAGTTATAATAAAAAGATTTAATAAAAAGTTAGGATGTTTAGCTAGAACTATATTTGATTGTGTTCTATATGTAGTCTAGCATTATCAATGAATTGATGCTAGTTAAATTATTAGTGCTCGAGTATTACGGGTAAAGTCAATATCTTTAGGCATGGCGTTTTCTAAAATCATCTTCATTTTTGTTTAGCGTTATACACTTGTTGACATCACAACTAGTTTCACTTCCGATTTGATTGCAGACAGCTGGATTACAGAGTATAAGTATTTTAAAGTTGTGGGTCGATTTCGATGTATTTACTCCATTCAATAGGTTCAGTTAAAAATGTTAATTACGAAATAAACAATGTGATATAATATTCAGACATCTAACTTAAATGCATGTTGCAAATAAAGAAAATAAATACTACTTAAGACAAAACATAGTAAAGCACATAGTTTTCTTTCTAGTTTGATATGTAAGATGATGATACGTGTTCAGCTGTATATGAATACATATTTTATACAGAAGTACATATGTAAAAGGAAAAGAGAAGCTTGACATAATTTTCCACCAAGGAACGAAGCAGCGACCCCACACTTCTAAACCTATCATAAGTTAAAGAGAAATATGGCACTTTAATGAACAAATAAAATCAACCATTGAAAAAGCATGTGTTTGGAGAGAAAATGGAGATCATGCCTGGTTATTCCCTCATTTTCGCGTTCTTCATGTCGTGACCTCGCGCTCTCGTATTCTATTTTTGTAACACATGGTGTTGTTTAGAGTGATCAATGGGCACACAACCTAAATAGTTTGAAGTGAAACTACTAAAATGTCCACAGACGATATATAGTTTGAACATGTTTAAATTACTAAATCTTATAAAACATCTTAAACATACATTTTACCAACATATTGTCTTTTTCTTGTAATAATTCATAGAGAATACAACATTATCAGCGATATAAGCAAGGAGGAAAAAAAGGAAAACGAATTAATTACCACACTGGATTAAGATAGACCAGGAAATTTGAGTTACTGAACTGATAAACTATTCATAATCCCGATAATTAAATACTCTAGAGTCTGTTCTTCGGATTGATGGTTTTCCTGTATCCTATTGTCAATTAGACTTGTCTTTTAACATTGTAAATGTGCAGAGAACGTTGTTCATCCAAATTTTAATTTCAGAAAAATAAGAACAGAAAAATCAAGCTTCAAAACATGAGGGAGTCAAAGGCTGAACATCGTTACTAATTGTCCCGGGTATTACCGGGTATTACCGGGTATTACCACCGAACTCCCTTGTAAGGATGTAAAAACAGTAATCCTCAGATACACCACCATTTTCATATTCATATACAGTTATAAAACAAATTGCCGTTTTGATTGTTAAAGATATTTTCCTTTTCATCACATACTAAGCTCATCTTGCCCGAACGTGAATTTTAATAAATAGAAGGTACATGCAATTAACTGGTATTTGAATATGTTTTAATCCGGCGTTTCAAATGTGTAAGGGGACTAGTGCTGGACTTTACTGTGATCTCGCCATTTGGCAGCTTCATCTCCTTGATACATTGCTGACTTGTACAAAAGAATAGTAGCCTGTTATCTGAAGTGACAGTAAATCCATCCGACCTAGTTCCCAGGTTAATAGCTTGTTTAATTTCTTCAGACCTTTTGGAAAGTTTAACACTGTTCTTTTTATCCTGTCATTTTAGCCAGCAAACTCCTGATTTATAATCTACACCAGTCCAACATGTTTTGAAGTTTGAATGATAAAGGCTGGCTGGTGATGATATCTGACTCTGTGATCGAATCGGAGACGATCTGTCTTTTATTATCGTCTCCACATGAACACGTAACTGTGCCATTATTTGCATCATTAACAAAAACTTGGTCGAATGGTCGGCACACCTCAAGATCGAATTTATAATTTGTGTTTTGGAGGGGATCGTGATGAACACCATTAAATACTAACCAACCCAGCTGGCAGACATTCGTCGGGCCAACGTCAGCTTAGGTTGTGTTGGTCGCAGGTACGTTTGCAATGTCTAACCAACGTCGGGCCGACGTCGTAACACAACCTTTCAGATTTCTCTTAAAGCAAATTGGAGCACAACGTTAGTGCAACGTCGAACCAACGTTTCAAAAAACCTTTGAGATGGCGATTTTGATAGTTGGGTTTACAACGTTAGTGAGACGTCGAACCAACGTTTCAAAATAACCTTTTGATAATGATTTTGATAAATGGGTTACAACTTTAGTTCAACGTCGAACCAACGTTTCCAGATTACCTTTGAGATGACTATTTTGATGGTTGGGTATACAACGTTAGTACAACGTCGAACCAACGTTCAACATGACACTTCAGGTTGCTATATTTATTGATTTGTATTTCAACGTTAGTACAACGAGCAATATAACTCCTCAATGCGTACGTATTACATATAAACAATGTATGTGATGCATTGATGCATAAGTACTGTAACTGTAGGTTCGTAGGTCCGACATCTTTAGAAAGCTTGCAGCTTGATTTGATGCCTCTTCGTGTTTATAATATATATAATTTTTTTTTAGTGCGGAATTTAATCAAAAATTACCACAAGATGCACTTACTGTTGAAAATACTATAAATACATCATATATATATATAAGAGAATGATGATACCCCTTTTTATTAATTCAGTTTATTAAATCCAGACATGAGGAACCGTCTGAAGATGGAATACGTCAGCTACTGTCCTCCATTAATACTCTCTTAACTAAGCATACATATTCAAGTTTTATCATAATTAATATTCCTGTGCAACTCTGTTCTGCATGAAGGATTTGAATAAAAATATGTATCTAACCTTCGCACATAACAAAACCTTTATGTTGTAAATGACCAGTTTATGATTAATTTAGAATTAGGTTCACAAATATAACTTGCATAAAATACGCCTAGAAAAATAAATATACAAGAAAATGACTGGAATTAATTGAAACGGGGATTGGGGGATAGTTTGTTTAAAAAGTAGAAGTTTATCCAGAAAAAGAGGGACAGGGATAAGAGAGACATAAGAGTAATTTATCAGCAAATGAAAAAGAAAATCAGAGAAAAAAAATACTTGCAAAAAGAGGAGAGGAAAAAAATAGATTTACTTAGTTTTTATCCTTAATGACAATATAGATGCTTGGTATATGTCTGTATCTGCATGTATATATCTAATTATCTAAAAGAAACTATATGAAAGGCGCTGAAATCTTTGATAAAAGATGCTTCCCTGTCATATTTGTTTGCTATGTATCTTTCGATAGTGTATGCTGTTTTCAGTTTACTGATAAGAGTAGGTAGGTAAAGCTCTTGGCAAAAAACTCTTTTGACAATAATGTAGTGTTTCATACTCAGAATTATGACATTTTCTGCCCTGTTATTCAGATTTTGATTTTGTGTTATTTTCCCAAAAATAAAATCTTTTTTACATATATTAAAAGTCACATAACAAGAAGTTTGGATCCAAATTTGGAAAGCAAGAATACAATTTTGGACTTAATTACATTCCCATAGTACATGCTGAATAGTTTATTTTTCTGTGAAGCAAAAAATACACATATCAGACTGAACCAAATTAATCTTTTTCAAAAAGGTGTTGGTAACTAAAATGTGATGATTAATGTTTACAATAACTTGGTTGTTTGGAGGTGTTGGCATGCGCGAGGTTATTTACATATATATCGTATATACATTATTTGATAAAAAACGTGATATACACATTTTAAAATACGGGTGCTTAGTGATCTGTTTAACTCTTTAACAGTGTCCATCGAGTTGTACCAGAGTTATTATTATGAAATATTTCTGTTCATATACATAGTATGTGTCCCAGTAAATATGTACTATTGTGAAATACTATGCTTTTCTGTATTATGTAAAAATCAAAACGTGAAATAAAAATACCCATGATACACAATCATAAAATATAACGTTGTAATTGTGTTTGATAATTTGCTAATTCGACGAACAATTAGAGACATTCTTATTTTTGTTTAAAACCCAACTACTGTTTTTCCTCTTTATTTTCAGAACCATCGAAAAGAAACCAAAGAAACCCATGCCCAAGACAGTGAGAGTGACTAAACAGTCACTTTCGAAATACAAAAACGTGAACATAACAACGTTTCCGGGTTATTTCTATGCACTTTTAAAATTACAAAGATCATGGAGGATACGTCTAAGTAGAAGGAAATCCACTCAGGGCAGCTACATATAAAAAATGAAAATATGATACATGCTGATCTGAAATAGAACAATCGTCAAGACAAATTCAGTATTTATCATACATGAAATTATGTTTTATATATTGCAGGGAACCATGCTACCGACGGAATTGACGTAGATAGGCACTGTTAAACACATGTTCACAAATACTGACATGGCGACTTAAACGTGATACGGTTAAAGTTTGATGCTGCGATGACATTGCAGCAACAGATAAATTAACTAATTAGTTTGACCGTAATCTACGAACGTGCGACTGAAGTCAATTTTTCCGCTCATGCGGTAACTTGA